CACCTAACCCTTAACTGTACCCCACAAAACCATAATAAAAAATATTGATTATGAAAAAAAAAATTAGCTGGGCATGGTAGACATGCCTGTACTTCCAACTTCTTGGAAGGCTGAGTTGGAAGGATTGTCTGAGCCCAGCAGGTTGAGGCTGCGTTAGCCGTGAACATACCACTGCACTCCATCCAGCCTGGGTGACAAAGTGAGACTCCAAGTCAAAAAAAAAAAAAAAAAAGCTGGGAAATATGGCCCATGGAAGAGAAAAATGATATTATATTTTATGAACCCAATGGAGTATTGTATGACCATTAAAATTATTTTTAAATGGACTATGTTTAAGATATAATGTTAACTGAAAAGTATGAATCTATGTTACCTGAGATTACAACCAGGTGAAAAATATGTGTGTCTTTAGATAGGTTAGAAAGGTATAAGCAAATGAAAACAGCTGTTATATTATGGTGATGGATCATGTGTAATTCTTTTTTTTTTATTTTTAGAATTGGGGTCTTACTCTGTCACTGGAGTAGCTCTGTAGCTGAGCAGAGCTACTCCAGCCTGAAGTGCAGTGATGCAATCATGGCTCACTGCTGCCTCAACCCCCTGAGCTCAGGCGATCCTCCCACCTCAGAATCCCAAGTAGCTGGGACTACAGGCATGCACCACATCTAGCTAACTAAAAAAAAAATTGTAGAGACTGGGGTCTTGATATGTTGCCCAGGCTGACTTTGAATCCTGGCCTCAAGTAATCTTCCTGCCTCAGCCTCCCAAAGCACTGGGCTTATAGGCATGAGGCATCATGCCTGACCTCACTGTTTAATATGAGTTAAAAGAATCAATAGAAGACATGTTCTCTGTGTACATTTAGACTGGCAACAGAAGCTAATTGTGCTTTAATATCCATTATCCTTTCTTCAATAAAAATAGAATTTTAGTCAGGTACATAACTGCCCAAAACAAAAGTACATTTCCCAGCCTCCCTTGTAGCTAGGTGTTACGATGAGACAAAGTTATAGCTAATGAAATATGGGAAATGGGAACCCTGAAACATGTCCTTTGTTTGTCCTTTTCCTCCATCTTATTACCTGAAATCTTCCTTAGCTTTGTCATTACGCACATTATATAGCTGGACAGAATCTGATATGCATTTGATCAGATGAGAGACTGCTTTCCACATTAATGAATGAGAATATGTGTGACTCATGAGGACAAATAGGTGTTTTTCTATTCAACCAGTGTTCAATGCAAGCTCTGAAAACACAGGGATTATCCTTCCCTTTTGGATATCAAATGACAGTATATTAATATTAAAAAGTGCATGTTTATATATTCTAGTGAGAATCCTACACATTTATTCCAATATTCCTTTTAACTTAGGAGAATATTTTAGCAGATAATGAGATCCTTTTATAGGCTGCCATACCTGAGTTAGATCAGCAATCAACCCACGCATTTTAAATGTTAAGCAAAATAAAAAATGGTATTTTTAAAGTTCAATAAACAATTGCACTTTAATTATCATAGCCTCTGGTAAGGATTGACATAAATCCAATAACCTGGATTACAAAAGAAATCAATAATTTATACTATATCAGCAATAAGAATTTATTGATTCAAAATAAAATGAATAACTATTATTCCAAACAGTCTTTATAATTAAAAAAATACACAAAGTACTTAAAGCAGATACAATATTCTGCTCCAGGTGCCTTCAATGTTCAATAATTATTAGGTATGCTATGTCATGCCTATTGTAGCAACAAATCCATTATTATTTTTATTATAATTCAGAATAGGTCATTCACAAACTATTCTGCAAAAACAACATCCAACTAAAAAAAAATACACTAGAAACTGACTCATAAGCAGCCTTTCATTCTGTGAATTCTAATATTTATGCCAAGCATGGCCTGTTCGGATTTTTTTTAAATGAGAGAAAATCAAAATCGAATAAAAGTCCCAGGGACTGATTTACTCATCATTTCTTGAACAAAACTGTATACTGCTAGCTTGAGGGCATCTAATATAAATAATTTGTTTAGACTAAAATGCTGTCAGTAAAAAATATTTGCTCCTATGGTAACACAAAAGGGCTTAAAATGTCACGCATTTAGTTAAGAGAGCATACTGAGGACTTGTTTCTATTTTATTTTCCTTTATTACTCATACTCATCATTTATATGCCAACAAGTAGATTGTTAAATAACTTTGGTTTTCTGTTAGTTAGCTGTGCATTAACATGATGGAAGATTACCCATACACATGTCTTGATGCCAGGCAAATAAATTCTTTTCTTTTTCCAATTCGTTGTCTGACGTAGATTCATTAACTTTCACAATGTCAAAAGATGGCGTGGAGATGACTATTGTGTGTCGTTGCTTTGTATCTGGTGTGTCCATTCGTGGTTCCTAGGCAGAATTATAAATACAAGTGGAAAGTATTTTACCTTTGGTTTTTACAACTTTATATGTTTATATTTGACTCTTTACACTTGGCCTCTTCCCCCAAAAATTTACAGCATGTTTTATACCTTTTAGTAAGTTTACATAGAAATGACTTCCATTTTGAGAAAAGCACCATCAGAGAGGATAGAGGATGCCAAAAGTGCCTGAGAATTAATACCTGCCCTCCAACTTATACTGATGTGGAGCCAAAACAGCTGGTGTTGATCAGAACTGCTACCAATATTGTTTAATAATTTTAAAAAATACCTGTTATTAAGATGAAATTAACTGTATACTATCCAAGGTATAATATGCCAAAGGTTTTTCAGCCTTGAACTTGTAGATTAGGAAAATTTCATTTATGCAAGTAGAATTACTTACAGGCAGTTTGAATATTGTTTAAAACAATGAATTCAGTACAAGTTAAACTTACAGACACTTCAGAAACATTTTTTTCTTTAGCCAAATAAGTTTTTCTCATTTTTTCAACTTTCATTTGAGCTTGCTTGGATCGACGACCCAGATGTTTAACTTGACTTTGTTTGTATGGCCGATACACAGGTTGAAAACTTGAGGATGGCCACCTAGAATATATTTGTATTATAGACAGAAAAATCACACAAAATAAAATTTAAGTGTAAAGCAAGTTCCAAATTTTATTAAGGTGTTCTCCAGCAAATATATCATAGACCCCAGCAACATTGGAGCAACATTGCATATAAGCATTTAGGTTAGCTATCATTTCTGCTTGAGTTTGTATAGCCTAGTTCTTTACCTGGCACTTACAGAGGTACAGAGGTGATGATGTTGACAACAGTAATGATGAAAGTTATAAAACGTGAATTTAAAATTCACATCCGGGCTCAGTGGCTCATACCTGCAATCCTAGCACTTTGGGAGATGGAGGCAAGAGGACTGCCTGAGCCCAGGGGTTTGAGGCCAGCCTGGGCAAATTGGTGAGACTTTGTCTCTACAATAAATCAAAAAATTAGCTGGGCATGGTGGTGCACACCTGTGGTTCCAGCTACTTGGAAGGTTGTGGTGGAAGGATCGCCTGAGCCCAGCAAGTCGAGGCTACAGTGGCCGTGAGCATGCCACAGCTCTCTAGCCTGGGTAACAGAGTGAGACTCCAAATCAACAAAATAAATAAATAAAATAATATAAAATAGCTTTCCTGGAAAATATCATGCAGTAGCCATATGAATCATTTTTTACACTATATACCAACCCAAAAAAGTATTACATTTCATAATGCTTAGAGACACAAGCTGTTTTTTAAAATCAGTGTTGGGATCAGATACATTTGGCACTATGCCCATAATCCGCTTGGCCTTACCATTATGGAGCACACAGGCCCAACTTTCAACTGCAAGCATCTGTATCACTTAGCTTGAACGCTTTCTTTGAAAATAAGAGCCCATGGATAGAGGATGCCAAAAGTGCCTGAGAATTAATACCTGCCCGCCTAAGCAATCCTTAGCCAACGACCGATGAGTATTGGTGTATCAATACTCTAACTCCCTTGCCCATGTGGGATAACTCTGAGTTGGATGTTCTACATTGGTTCTGACATTCCCAGGAAGTATTAAGCTCCAGTTACCCACAGTGATAACTTGCTTGCTAACACACAGTGTTTTGGCTGCCTTGCCTTCTCTCTTTCACTTCTCTATCCCTTCCCTTCAGTGGTTCCTGAGATCGTTTCCCAAATAAACTACTTGCACTCAAATCTTTGTCTTTGGGTTTGCTTCTGGGAGATTCTAAACTAAGACTGCATTCAAAGATGCCTTATGAAAGTATTTTTTCCTCTTCAGTTGATTTAAAATTTGGCTACTTATTTGACTCTTAAGTGACTTATTCTTTGATAATTAGTAGCATAAATCCAAATATTAGGGAGCCCAGGGTTACATATGGTGGCAGAGAAAATTACATAATTTATTTGACCTTGGTAGTAATAGGGTTAAGTTCTATATTCAGTACCCATATGGGTGTTAGAGAAAATCTATTTCATGATGACAGACTGTGCCCTAAACCAGGCCATCTGTCTGGCAAATGTATAGCCTTGATCATAAAATAAATGAGTTGAATTATGTTATTGGGTTAGCATCACTCATCTCTAGTCCTGCAAAAACTCAGCATGTTTGCTTGACAGTGGGTCATCAGAGTCTTCTTCATGTACTAAGGAAGTATTTTTTAAAAATCAAATATAAGTGTGTGAAAATAGATTACCAACAGGTCCTCTTCAGTCTTATTATTTCTTTTCCTTAAGAAAGCCTGCTTAATTCATAAATAAGATGGGTTAGGTGAGACTTAGTAATGGAAAGAAGAAAGAAATATAATTGGAGCAGTCACATTCTGTCTATGTTTCAGATCATAACACATCTATTTCTACAACTTGCATTTCTATAATGTGAATTGGCTCATATGTTATTAGTAAAGAAGGAAATAATGTCACTCTAATTTATATGCAGTTTATCTTAGGCAAGGGGAGTCAGAATAGCAAGGATAGAATTATAACCTTCAGCTGAAAAGGAAAAAGCCCTCAGCTCTGTGCTGCACAGGCATTGGGAGCCCTTCTGGCTGTATTCATGAAAACAAAAATTAGCGCCTTCATCAAGGGATCTTTCTCCACAGAGGTACAGCATCCCCCATCCCTACCCCTACCTTGGATGGCTCTTGGTTCTTAGCAGTTTGCACTGCTAAGCAGTGCAAAAGGCAACCACGCTGGCCTAAGGCTCCATTTCCATCGTGCCCACTACCTGCTCTAATTTAAGAGTTGTCAGCATTTCCACTCTTTCATTGTACATTTTAAAATATTTTTGGTGGCAGCCTCTAGCTATGCTGAGCTGCCTGTCTGGTGGTACAAGTTCTCTCCGCATGTGCCAATGGTCCTTTCTGTTAGTTCTCTGTTCACAAAGTTGCATACGTTTTGAGCAATCTGCTCAATCTTATTTTTTCCATATGCCCTATTATTATCTTTAGTGAGCTATTTGGCAGAATGTGGACACTTTCAGATATGCTCCTAGTATTGTAACCTTAATGAAGGATCTCTTTTACCTAATTTCAGAAACAATCCGTAGCTGGTGCTGACGCATCTCTTCTGTTTTTGGTCTCTGTAACAGATACTTCATTTCTTTTTGTAGACGGTTTGAGATTACTCCAGACTCTGCATAATCAACTATGTCATATATTATCATTGTCCTGGGAATGTTTTCAAGGCTTAATTTTCGCCAGTAGTTACTTCTGCCACCAGAAGACGCAGGGGTCTTATCCAGAAAACTGGAATACTGTATGGAAAAAGCAATTAAGAATGACTGAGAATGTCACTCCATCCAAAAGGCATTCCTTGATCCCATATCTGAACTTCTATGACTCTTATTACTGACTAGTCAGTGTTTTAATTATCTGTGTATGACTTGGCTCCCTTACTAGTAGGCAGGATCCAAGTCACACGGTATCATGCACATAGTACCATACTCACTAAATATTTATTTAAGGAATAAACATTTTTATGGCAAATATAACTCAGATAAACTAAACTCAGGTAGGCCTAAAATTAATGACAATATCTATGTGTTCTGCATGCCTAATACTGCTTGTCTATGACATGCTGGAGTTGAGAGGACATTTGCACAATCCTTTTTAGAAATGAGTTTATCTCTGGTGGTAAGTGGAGGATGTCACTATTTTCTTTTGTAGTATTTGTGGAAATCCCACTTTTCTTTTTTTCCAATTTAAAATGATATTAAATTAGGAATTTTAAAATACAAATATAATCAATTTAACATCATAAATGTGCATGTAAGAGGTAGAGATAGGGCAGGAGAAGCTACAATGCTAAAAAATAGAATAACAACAAGGTCTTTTGGGTATATATTACACAGTAACACTCACACTCTCATGTACACACACTCACACTCACTCACATACACTCACACATATACACATACATATTCACATGCATACACAGGCAGTCTTCCTTCTGCACCATTTTGGCATGCATGAATTTTGATCAACACTGTTTAGTTGAATAATACCAGTCCTCCAAGAACTCAGTTCCAATTTCAGTTGCTATGGTATAACCGTGAGCAACTGCATAAAGGACAAACTCTGATGCTAATGCTGTAGTCCACAGATCACCATATAAATGACAGATGTGTATCATGATTAGTGACAAATCATGTAATTTCTTCCAAAGTCTGTCAGTGATTGATTACTGAGAATCTGTTATTCAGTTCACACAGACAGCAAAGTATGTAGTTATGCTGCCTCTTTGTCTCCCAGTGATAAACCCATGTGACATTTTCCAAAATGAAAATGGAAAATTGAAAGAGGGAATTGGCCAGTAAAGAAACAAAAAGTGCTAACACTTGAAGTGAAATTAGAATCAAACATAAATGCAGTTCTAGAAGAAATAGGTGACTGTGGGAATGCTGACACTACCATCATTCAAGACTGCAGATACGCAGCTAGAGGAAATTGGTGAGGGTGAACCTATCAACACAAATGAGGAAAGTGGCTGTGATGAAAAGGATGAAGCTTTCCTAGAGGAAGTGACGCTGGCCAAAAAAAACTTCACATTGAAGGTACTCTGAGATATTTCACAACATTTAAAGTGCAAAGAATAAAATGTTGGCAGCTGATCCAAACTTAAAAAGGAGTATGACAATTCACCAAGACTTAGAAAAGATGCTTGCTCCATACTGTAAGAAGTACAAGAATACAAGCACTGTTCAAACTGCTCTTGATGAATTTTTCCCACAGCTTTATGAGATTCACATGCCACACAATTCACCCATGTAAAGCGTACAATTTAATGATGTTCAATATATTCACAGTTGGTAAGTTTTTTTTTTTTTTACAAAGAAACAAAACATTTTAATTCTTGGTGTTTCTAATGTTTAAAATTATGATGTACTAAATGTGACTTTTTATTTCATTTTCCTATGTATTTATAACAGACAATAACAATTATCATCATACCATAAGAAATGGATTGACAGTAGTGGGAAGCTGCTAGGGAAGAGGGACACACTTCATCAATAAGGGTACCTGCATAATGAACATTTGTATACCTAACCCTGAATTGTATCCCACATCTTTAAAATAAAAAGTTTACAAAGAAAATAAAGTTTTTAATGTTTTGACAAAAAAGTTTATTGTCTTTTTTCTTTGGAGACAGGGTCTCACTATGTTGTCCAGGCTAGTCTCAATTAATCCTCCCGTCTCAACCACCCAAGTAGCTGGGAAAAAAGACAAAAAATATTTTTAAAGTCACAGGACAATCACAATTCTCCCCACTGATTATCAAACTTGCTTTGCAGGGTTTCAACTTGCATGATCATTTTTATGGTTCTGCACAATCGTGCAAAGTAAGACTGCCTATATATTTTATTTCCCAAGAGTGGAGTAGCAACATGAGTAAACATCTCATATCTGTCAATGATCTGTTCTGCCTCTTATTACTTGTGTGCTCTTGGGCAAGTTTTTCTTTTTCGTTCTTTTTTTTTTTTAAAGCTTTGTTAAACCTCATTTTTCTCATCTGTTAAAAAAAGTCACATAATTTACAAACTTGAAGATTAAAGAAGATAATATGCACCTTAAGAGCTAAAAAGAGGCTGGGCTTGATGACTCATCCTGTAATCCCAGCAGTTTGGGAGGCCGAGGCGAGTGAACTGCCTGAGTCTGAGGATTCGAGACCAGTCCCAGAAATTGGCAAGACCACGCCTCTACAATAAATCAAAAAATTAGTCAGGCATGGTAGCGCACACCTGTAGTTCCGCCTACTTGGAAGGCTGAGGTGGAAAGATCACGGGAGGCCAGCAGGTCAACGTTGGGGTGGCCATGAGTGTGCCACTGCACTCCAGCCTGGGTGACGGAGTGAGACTTCAACTCAAAAAAAGAAAAAAAAAAAAAGGGAAGAGCTAAAAAGAGTGTGTGCCCATACGAGGATTTAATACACGTCAGCAATCATCTTATTTCCTTCTTCCAAAATATCTATTTGGGAACTCCACTCTATAACACTAATTTGTGACATGCTCACAGTCTGCAAGTATGTGACCCATATCCTTAGCAAAGATAGTTGGCATCCCTGGTTCTACTTATTCCCTGGCTCAATTCCCTAAACTCATGGGTTAAGGTTCTAAAAGAAAGAAAACACAATTGGGAGTCTCTAAGGCACTGCATTAATTTCATGTTTCACATTGAAGCAACTGAGTGAATAGTTAAGGCCATATACAGATACACCTCAGGGATACTGTAGGTTCAGTTCCAGACCACTGCAATAAAGTGAACATCACAAATAAAGTGAGTCACATTTTTTTTGGTTTCCCAAAGCACATAAAAGTTATGTTTACACTATATTGTAGTCTATTAAGTGTGTAATAGCATTATGTCTAAAAAAATCAATGTACATATCTTAATTTTAAAATACTTTATTGCTAAAAAAGACTAACAATCGTCTGACCCCTCAGCAAGTCATAGCCTTTTTGCTGGTGGAGCGTCTTGCCTTGATGTGGATGGCTGCTGATTGATCAGGGTGGTAGCTGCTGAAGGTGGGGTGGCAGACGCAATTTCTTAAAATAAGACAACAGTGAAGTTTACCGCATTGATTGACTCTTCCTTTCACGAAATATTTCTCTATAATATGCAACACTATTTGATAGCAGTTTACCCACAGTTGAGGTTCCTTTAATACTGAAGTCAATCCTCTCCAAGCCACCCATTGCTCTATCAACTAAGTTGATAGAATATTCTAAATATATTCTAAGAATAGATATATTCTAATAATAAATATATTCTAAGAATATTCTAAATCCTTTGTTGTCATTTCAGCAATGTTCACAGCATCTTCACCAGGAGTAGATTCCATCTCAGGAAAGTACTTCATCGGAAGAAACACCCCATCAGATCAAGTTTGATCACGAGATTACAGCAATTCAGTCACATCCTCAGGCTCCACTTCTAATTCTAGTTCTCTTGCGATTTCCAACCCATCTGCAGTTTCTTCCTCTACTAAAGTCTTGAAACCCTCATCCACGAGGAATAGAATCAACTTCTTCCAAACTCCTGTTAATGTTGATATTTTGACCTCCTCCCATATTCATGAATGTTCTTAGTGGCATCTAGAATAGTGAATCCTTTCCAGAAGGTTGTCAATTCACTTTACTCAGACCCATCAACAGAATCACAATATATGGCAGCTATAGCCTTATGAGATGTAATTCTTAAATAATAAGACTTGAAGCCGGGCTCGGTGGCTCAGTTTATAATCCCGCGCCTTTGGGAGGCTGAGGTGAGTGGATTGCCTGAGCCCACGGGTTCGAGACCCGCCTGGGCAGCGAGACCTCATCTCTACAATAAATCAAAAAAATCAGCCGGGCGTGGTAGCGCATGCCTGTAATTCCGGCTACTTGGAAGGCTGAGGCGGAAGGATCACCGGAGCCCAGCAGGTCGAGGCTGCGGTGGCCGGAAGCGGCCACTGCACTCCAGTCTGGGTGACAGAGTGAGACTCCAACTAAAAAAAAAAAAAAAAAAAAAAATAAGACTTGAAAGTTGAAACTACTACTTGATTCATGGGCTGTAGAATGAATGTTGTGCTAGCAGGCAAGAAAACAACATTAATCTGCTTGTATATTTCCATCAGAGCTCCTGGGTGACCAGGTACATTGTTAATGAGCAGTAATATTTTGAAAGGATTCTTTTTTTTTCTTTCTGAGAAGTAGGCTTAAAATACTCAGTAAATCATGCTGCAGAAAGATGTGCTGTGATCCAGGTTTTGTTGTTCCATTTCTAGAGCACAGGCAGAATAGATTTTGCATAATTCTTAGGAGCTCTAGGATTTCCAGAATGGTAAATGAGCATTGGCTTTAAGTTAAAATCACCAGCTGCATTAGCCCCTAACAAGAGTCTACCTGTCCTTTGAAGCTTTGAAGCCTTGAAGCGAGGCATAGAATTCTCTAACTATGAAAGTCCTAGATGGTATGTACTTCCAACTTCTACGTGAAAATCTGTTGGTTAGTGTAACCACCTCACCAATTATCTTAGTTAGATCTTCTAGATAACTTGCTGCGTCACCTTTCACTTTTATGTTATGGAGACAGACTCTTTCCTTAAACCTCACGAACCAATCTTTGCTAGCTTTATACTTTTCTTCTGTAGCTTTCTCATCTCTCTCAGTCTTCACAGAATTGATTAGGATTAGGCTTTCATGTAAGGAAATGTGGTTGGTTTGATCTTCTAATCCAGACCACTCAAACTTTCTCCATATCCTCAATAAGGCTATTTCACTTTCTTATCGTGTGTTCACTGGAGTAGGACTTTTAATTTCCTTCACAAACTTTTCCTTTGCATTCACAGCTTGACTAACTGGTGCAAGAGGCCCATCTTGGCTTTCGACATACCTTCCTCAATAAGCTTAATTATTTTTAGCTTTTGATTTAAAGTGAGAGGTGTGCAACTCTTCCTTTCACTTGAATACTTAGAAGTCATTGTAGAGTTATTAATTGGCCTAATTTCAATATTGTTGTGTCTCATGGAATAGGGAGGCCAGAGGAGAGGGAGAGAGATGAGGGAATGGCCAGTTGGTAGAGTAGTCAGAACATACATGATATTTATCAGTTAAGTTCGTCATCTTACATAGGTGCAGTTCATGTTGTTCCCAAACAATTATAATAGCAACATCAAGATCACCGATCACAGATCACCATAACAGATATAATAATAATGAAAAGATGTGAAATACTGCAAAAAATGACCAAAATATGACACAGAAACACCAAGTAATCACATGCTATTGGAAAAATGGTGCTGATAGACTTGCTCGACACATGGTTGCCACAAAACTTTAATTTGTAAAAAATACAATATCTGTAGAGCACAATAAAGTGAAGCACAATAAAACAAGGTATGACTACATATTATTATTGCAGGCTAGAATTTGGTGAGCCCTTGTTTCTTTAGAACTTGCAAAATTGGGGTAATAATAGTTTCTGCCTCTTTGGGTTGACATTAAAATAAAAGGAGTTCCTATTACAGAAGCACTTGCTGTTATTTTTTTAGGTATCTAGTTTAAGTTCCCTGACTCAGCACTGTTATCCATCTGGTTATGCAAACCAAAAACCTAGGAGCTATGCTAGACACCTTCCTTTAGCTTACCTCCCTGTCTGTAACCAAGGCCTGCTGCTTTTATTCTCTAATTATCTCTCGCGTTCCTAGATTCACAGCTATAAATCAAGCTACCTCTATTTCTCCTAGAACACTGTAGGAGCCTCCAAACTAGTAAAGGGCTCTTTCTGCCCTCTAATCTATTCTTTATATTGCAGCCAGAGGATCTCCTCACCCATTAGGTTAGGTTACCTCATTTCTTAAAAAACTGCACCAGCTTCTTGTTGCATACAGAATAATGAAAAAAATTAAACACTCTTTAGAACCTGAAAAATGGCATTATTCACAATAGCAAAAACATGGAACCAACCAAAAGACTGGATTAAAAAAATGTGGTACATATACATGAAGGAATATTACACAGTCATAAAGAAGGGCAAAAATTATGAACTTCGTAGCAACTTGGATGGATTTCTGTAATACTCAGTGATCTAACACAGAAACAAAGAACTGAGAACCACATGTTCTCACTCATAAGCAGACCTTGAACAATGATCATAATACTATAAGAAAGGGATTGGCAGTTAAGGGAAACTACCAGGGGAAGGAGGGGCATACCTCATCAACAAGGTTACCTGCATAATGACCATTTGTATACCTAACCCTGAATTGTATGCCACATTTTAAAAATAAAAAATAACTGAAATAAATTAATTTTAGAAAAAGAACTTGCAAAATGGGGGTAATATTAGTTAAGACCTGTGTGAAAAAAGAACTTGCAAAATGGGGGTAATATTAGTTAAGACCTCTTGTCAGTCCTTCAGCCTGAGAGCAGTCCACACCCTCTGTGCTCTCTCTTGTCCAGTTCCACAAACCTATTTTCAGGCCCTGCAGCTCCTCCTGCCACAGTGCCTGGGTGGTGCCACCAGCTCACTCCCAGAATGGGCTCAGTCACTGCTGCCTTCAGGAGACTGTAACACACCTCAACAATTGCCTGCCCATTTCCCACTTCTCCCTTGCTGATAGAGCCCTGTTTTTTTGTTTTTTTCAAGTATGGAACAGCAATATGCTCAGGGAAGGAGGACCCCAGCACATGAACCATGACTGTTTTAAGCCACTCCAGGAAAATGATGCCACTTCCCTTTATCAGTGATTAGTTTAGGGGGAGCATGTGATTCAGCTCTGACCATGGAACCTAAGGGGAAGTCTGTTGGGGGCTTTTGGGAAAGGTTTTCCTTCCTGAGATAAAGAGAAAGGTGCTAGGAGTCCTCTTCTTCCTGCCTTGAAATGGTGCTGAGGATGTGATAGACACCTTTTTTTTCTGTTTTACTATGTGAAGGAAACCAAGATGACTAAAGAGAAGTTGACCTAAACCATGATGTCCCTCAGCTGCGGAATTAGGTAACCCAGGAACCACCTATCCTGGGATTTCTTTCATGGGACAATAAATGGCCTTTATTGTTTAAACCTCATGTGGTTGGGAATATTCTGTTATTTGTAACATAAAGCATCTAAACAATAAGAGAATCCCTCCTTACTAGGTCAAATTCTCATCATGCACTTTTTTAGCCTCATGTAGTTATTTTTGATGTTTTTATTTTTTTTTTATCCAGGTAAAATTTACATAATATAAAATTCACCATTTTAACCATTTAAAAGTGAACAATTCAGTGATTTTTAGTATAGTCACAATGTTGTGCAACCATTACCACCTACCAATCTTTCAGAACAATTTCATTACCTCAAAAAGAAACCTCATATTCCTTAGCCAACACCTTCCACTCTGCAGATACAAAAAGCCACATATTACATGATTTCATTTATATGAAATATCCAGACTATGCAAATCCACAGATACAGAAAGCATAGTAGTAGTTCACAGGGCCTGTAGTGATAGAGGAATGGGAAGTCACTGCTTACTGCATGTGGGGTTTTCTTTCGGGGTAATGAAAAGGTTCTGGAACTAGATGGTGGTGGTGATAGCACAACACTGTCCATGTACTTAACACCCTCGAAGTGTGCACTTTAAAATTGTTAAAATGGTAAATTTTATGTTGTATGTATTTTGCCATAATAAAAAAAAGTATGATTCTTTCTTGGAAGATAGAGTTAGAAAGACTTCCTTTGTTTTGCTTTTGAACATCTAAATCTAAATTCCTTACTTGCATGTAATCTTGCATGGTGACAATATCTCTTATATCAGTTACTTTGAACTTCTGGAAAAGACGCTCATCTTCCACAATTTGATGATAAAATTTCTTTTTCCCCATTATATTATAAGCATCAACCACTGCCTATAAAGAGAATAGGAAATCGACTTTAAAAATAGTAGTATATAGCATTAATTATCAGCACACACTATATACTTTTCTGACAAATACATCAAATATTGCTCCATTCTTCTAGCAACTTGATATTTAATAGAAAGACTGCATTTACAAACAGAAGATTATATAGGGATTTTTAAACCACTCAAGATTTGTTTCTGTAGCCATGTCTACATAGTTTTAAAATGAAGTTAGAGGAGTAGCTGAGGACAAAATCCTCAGAGAACCAAAGTTTTAAAACTATCTTTTTTTCCTCCTTGGAAAACATTCTCTTCTTTTAAAAAACAAAACAAACTTATGACATCATTTGTGCTGTCAATGCAGAGAAAATTTATCTGGTGATTAAACAGGTTGCCCTAGGAACTGCAGTGAAAGGTGTTACTAGAATCATCTCTCTTTTATGTGTTAATTAATACATCACCCCCAAATGGAAACACATATATGTCAGATTGTTTAGGCCTCCCTCCCCTTTGGATGTCATTGCAGCACCCAAAGAGTTGCAAATAAAGATTTTTTTCCCCTTTCTCCCAAATGTCAACATGTTGTACTCAAGGAGAGTGCCTGAGAAGTCAGAGATAGAAGAATCATAGAAAATATGGAGGCTTAAATCCTGTCTGGCCCTACTTACACCATATCCTCCAATGTACCTGTCCTATGTTAAGAGCTATACACAGACTGTGAGTAGAGACTCAAGTACTCCACATCCCCTGTAAGTATGTGCTGACTCTTTTAACACATATTTATATTATGGATTTGTGCTTCTGACCACAAAGGCTATACTTTTTGTGGATGGAGGCTGGCATAAAGGAAAATTCAAATAGCTTTTGATTCCAGTTCAGTTTTTATTTTCCTTTCTTTATCTCAGAAGGTGATATTTGTATGGGAACTCTGTGTTATAACGCTGATATGAGGCCATAACACTAATACGAGGCCATAAAAGAATGGTTGAGACAGGATCAAAACTCAGAATCTCTGTTCTTTTTACTTAACACACAACACAACAGCAAGCCTTAATGCATTTTCTATTCCAAGTCTCACTTTTGTTATCCATAATATTCCTTTTTTTATAAAATTCCAAAGCTTAGAAGACCACAGATACATATGGACAATGAAAAAGGAAGAACATATTCAAATGGCTGTAGTTTTATTCCTAAATGCACAATTTAGTAAATTGAAGGGACAGAAACAGTTTACTGCAAACGTGACATGGAAACTTCTTTTAGTAGATCATTTTTGCTTTCTATTTCATTAATGTCATTATATAGCAGTTATCTAAATAAAAGTACTGGCATGTCTCTCCATTATGCTTTCTTTCAATTAATTTCCTGTGGGTTCTAACTGACCAGCCCCACAGTGATGCTAAAAGTAAAAAACCCCACAAAAACCAAAAACCAAATAACTGTATACTAAACAGGAATAAAGAACATATAGTTTCTGCTTTAGGACTTTCTGTAGGCATAACTATATTTTACTTTAGCTCAAGTTACTTAAAAAGGTATTTATTGTCAGTTCCTCCCTATACTGCCCCACTCAGCCACCACCACCAATCTCTCAAGCCTCAATTTCCTTACTTGTGCAGTGCCTCAGCTCTTTGCCTCTGCTGTGTCTGGCTCATTACAGTCCCTCAGTCAAAGAAAAACACACCTGGCAGCATAGGGCAAGCTCTCTGCCCACTTGTGAGAAAAGTTTTTTAAAAAATTTGCCATCCACTGGCCAAAATGTTCTTTCTCAGATATCTGTTTTATATGGCTAAATTCAGTCTTTCTCAATAGGAAGCGATGGGAAAGAAGAGTCCAGCACTAGGAGAAAAGGGCAAAAACTCAGCAAGGATTCCAGGATACCAGCCAGAGTAAAATTCAAGAGGCTGGTTCAGTTCTTAGTGGGTGACTCAAAAGGTCAAAGGGGAGCATCTCTAAATCTGACACTTTCCCTGATAGATAGTCAGCATCTGTGTGGCCAGAAGCCCCCCCGCCCCCAGCCCTGTGATTATTTGCTGGCATAGAACCTTACTTGGGCTTGTAAAGTTACTCTAATATCTCAATTTACTACCCCATTCCTGCTGAAAATTGTCATTCATGAAGGTAGTAATAACTGGAATCCCTGCACTGGAACGGTTTTTTGGTCTGGAATAGTTCAATTATATACAGGCTCAGAATAAATAAAACCACCCTAACTGCTGGGTGGTTCGAACCTTGAAATGTACATAGTACAATGGAAACACAGATAAGTGTTTAAGTCTCAGTTATGCCCCTGACAAGTCCCTCCAAGTTCCAGCTTCCTCATAAGCAAAAAGGGAACTCACCAGAATTATTGGAGGGCCATATAAATAATGTGCATGCTGGTGTTTAGCACAATTCCTGACTCTCAGGAGTGATTAACAGCAAAGGTTCTAGAGTCAGGTTAACAAGGTCTCCATCTCAGTTCTTTCACTTTCTGGTTGTGAAACCTCATACAAGTTACTTAATATTTAAAAAATGAGGATAATAACGTAATATTATATTTAATAGGAGAATTAAATATAATAATGCACATAAAATGTTTAAGATCATACTTATACATAAAATGTACAAGATCATACAGCACTAGAAAGTGCTCAATAAGGGTAGTTATTATTATTATTATTATTTTTGAGTTGGAGTCTCGCTCTGTCACCCAGACTGGAGTGCAGTGGCTGCTCCCGGCCACTGCAGCCTCGACCTGCTGGGCTCCGGCGATCCTTCCACCTCAGCCTTCCAAGTAACCGGAATTACAGGCATGCGCTATCACGCCCAGCTGATTTTTTGATTTATTGTAGAGATGAGGTCTTGCTGCCCAGGCAGGTCTTGAACCCGCGGGCTCAGGCAATTCACTCACCTCAGCCTCCCAAAGGTGCGGGATTATAGGCTGAGCCACTGAGCCCGGCTTGTTTTTGTTTTTTTGTGTGCATGTGTGAATACATGAGAAATACAGTTGGAGACTTCCGGCAAGATGGTGACGGGGCAGCCTGGTCTAGGAGACCCTCTGCAAAGGAGAACGCAGAGGGTCTCTGGCTCTCTCCCTGGGGGCTTTGGACCCCAACACTGGCAGCCTGCTCTTCACACGGAGCTCAGTCGTTGCCACTGCTGGGGCATTGCAGCGATCTGGACAGCCACTGCAGCCGCAGACACAGCAGGTGCTCGCCTCTGGGGCCTCTGTGGCGCATTGCGCCACCCGTGCCTGAGGTGATCCATGACTTCAGTTCTTGAAGCCCCTGCAGGCAAGATCTGCTGGGATTGCTGCCACCTCTGCTGCCACCATGACGTCCTGCCAGCAGGGGTCTCCTCCCATGTGCCCTGAGGCAGGCTCCCATCTCCGGCCTATGCCCAACCCTTGTCTGGTTCCACCCCCTCTGGGGCGAGCAGCTGAGATAGCACCACCTGCTGGCAATTCAATGTAACAACACCGAAACGGGAAAAACAGACACAGGCCAGATTTGAGTGGGGAACTGAGGGTGATCTGAACTGTCCTTCACACCAGGCCAGGGGCAACTGACCCCAACTGTGAACTAATTTACCAGCTTGAGAAGACAGCTAGAAATCAGAGCTGAAAGGACATTGGACTTAAACGAAAAGTCTCAGAGTGTGCTTGATTGGTCCTGTTA